AGCAGGGCTTCTTAAACTATGGGTCGCGACCCCATTTGGGGTCGCTTAGCAAAATCTTGGGGTTGCGAGATTTTGATGAGAGTTTGAAAATGGCATGCTTTGTGTCATAGGTTTTGTGAGTTGCGCTTTGTGTCATTTCTGGTGCAGCGAGACAACGATCCAGCAACACTGATTGCAGTGTGAACTAGTGTAGTGTTGTCGCTTTTCAGTGTATTCAGTTGTCTCTGTTCCATTGTAACACAAGAATGAACTGTGGTAGTACACCATTATTGTTTTTGCAAATTTGTATATATCTTTATTTTATAATTTTTTTTTGGGTCGCGAAAAAAATTACAATCATAAATGGGGTCGTGAATAAAAAAAGTTTAAGAATGCTTTATATTATAAAGCATTTTAAAATTAGTAATTAAAGTTAAATTTTATATTCTTAAAATGAATTTGGTAACATATATCAATTAGAATTTAAGAAGTAAAATATATTTATTTAATAGGGCCTGAGAGAGAGAGGTGAGATGAGACTCGAACTAGTCACAAATGTGTAGAACTACACCTCCAATAGACACTAATAAGACAAATGAAAACAGACTTTTTCGTGGCTTATCAAAAGAAACTTTATATTCCTTCCATATTATATTTTTTACATAAAAGATAAAATTTTGAGGGTTACTCTAAGAAACAGTTTTGCTGGCATTCCTCTAATTGAGCTTGTTTAATATTATTGTACTGTAAGTTAGTGGTATTATATCATGAGTTTTAATTATTGAAAATTAGATTTATTTATGAAGCGAATTTGTTGTATAATTAAAAAGAATACACACGATATTTTAGATTAAATAAAAAATGACAGTAAAGGTTGTTACACTTATAAAATAAGTTATATTAAGATTTGTTTTTAGGTCGTTCTCTCTGCCTACAATGAGTTTTCTTAGAAACGTATCCGATGAATTCTACTAGATTTATTTTCACAAGATTTTGTTTCAGGTAAAAATAGATAAAATTTATTATTATTTTATATCTATTGAATACAGAAGTTAAAAACTTAGATTGTTTAAAATAAACATTATGTATAATGTAACACGTGTATTATGTATTAATATATATTAAGTAATTTATCAGTTTTATTATTTATAATGTATGTTATCGTATTAACAAAAATTTATATATTTCTTCATAAGTTCATTAATTTGTAAGCATTTATCGATAGGAATATTTAAATATTGTAAAAAGAACAACAAATCCCATCAATTTTTCTTACGTTTAAAAATAAAAGTTGCACGTCACAAGCAATAATAGAAGATAAGTCATTCAATGAATTTTTTTATAAACGAAATTTATTTTATCTCAAAAAATACATATATACAAATTAAATCTGTAATAAGACAAAATATAAGAAAAAATGTAAATCGATTAAGAACCACAGCACAGCTGCATATAAAACGATGCATCCGTCCTATAAAATAAACGAAATAATCAATAATCGAATATGATTAATAATAGAATCATATAGAAAGATAAGAGACAAACCTGACGTAAAATTTCTATAAAGCTGTTAGAATATAATTAACAGCCTTTATGTCCTCCACCGAGGAGGCCGAGAGCTCCGAGTCCGAGACCGGGACTAAGTCCTCCTCCGAGGCCATGTCCGAGTCCTCCTCCGAGACCGTGTCCGAGTCCTCCCAAATGGCCGAGGGAAGGTACGACTGCCTTTCCGTGTCCTACGTGTTCCAGAGCAGGTACCACTGCCTTACCTAGTCCGACATGTGCCAAAGTTGGTACGACGGCTTTTCCAACTCCTATGTGCCCAACTGCTGGTACCACAGCTTTACCCACGCCTCCCAAGTGTCCTAAACCATGTCCAAGACCTCCAAGACCTCCGAGTCCCCCGAGACCTCCGAGACCTCCAAGACCATGTCCCAGTCCTCCTCCGAGACCGTGTCCTCCTTTTCCCCCGAGTCCTCCAAGTCCTAAACCTCCGAGACCGTGTCCTCCTTTTCCTCCGAGTCCTCCAAGCCCTAAACCTCCGAGACCGTGTCCTCCTTTTCCTCCGAGTCCTCCAAGTCCTAAACCTCCGAGACCGTGTCCTCCTTTTCCTCCGAGTCCTCCAAGTCCTAAACCTCCGAGACCACCGTGTCCTAGACCCCCGCCTACCCCGAGGATGTTGTAAGGATGATGTTTGCTAAAATATCGGTGACTTAATCCTTTATGGCCAAATTTATCGTAATGAGGGATGACATCCTTCTTGTGATCGGTAACGGCTCCTCCCGTACCTACTACTGCTCTAGTAAAAGTAACAGCCAAAAGGCTAACTAACAAGAAAACCTAAAAAAAGAAATTTTCAACGTTAGATAAACGTTCTTATCGATCTGTTGTAAATTCACGTATTCTATGACTTACCAGAAGCTTAACCATTGTAAAGTAATTGAAGTTGGATGCGAATTGCTTGCTAGTCGATTGCTTCACCAATGTTTATATAGAAAATTGACCAACTGGTACGGGTCAACTCGATCTAAACATAGTAAGCAAACCTGAAAATTTGGTGAAGTAAAAAGTTCATTGGAGGTATACCGCTAGTAAAACGAGCTTTATTTGATACCAGAACTAGGTGGTGGGTAATATTTTTCGAAACACCTATAATTAACATCGTTTCCTGTTTGGGGTTAACGTAGACAGGAAGACAAATTAGCATTAAAAAAAAAGTGAAAGTGAAATTGAAAATTAAGATTCTGTAATATAACTCTTCGGTGTGTGATATAATAATTTTTTATAATTAATACCTAAATCGACATGATTTAGGTATTAATTTTAAAACAGATTTTAAAAAATGTGATCGGTATCAGAATCAAATGGTAGTTTGAAAAGCTTGATTTTCTAAATATTATTAATTTTCTTCTTATTGTCTGTAACAAAAATGGGACATTTATTTTTCTTTATTTTTTACGAATAAATAAACAGCTACGTTGAAAGTTTTTGCTTAAATTTAACCACTTTAATAAGCTATTAACATTAGTTTTCCATAGCCAAAACTGTATATAATGATATCTTCCCAATAATTATACACATAAACAGTAAAAACAGCTACTATTTATTATTAATATATATTAAATTTTATTCGCTTTTGAGAAAAATTATATAGAGTACGTTAATTTAATTCAAAAATTTTATTCTAGTTATTATTAACCGCGGGAAATGGGATGAAATCTTAAATTTAATATCAATAAAAATTTTAAACGAGATAAAATAAATTAAGCGTAAAAAGCTGTCTCCATTCATTCTTGTTTAATAGCATTTAAAAATGTACATCCTGTTAATCCAGTAAATAAAATATCACTTTATCTTATAATCAAGATCGTTTGTAAAAGAAAAATCGAGAATTATTCTTGAATTTGATAAAATAAAATTAAAAAAACAATGATAAAAAGTCGATAGTTATCTAATCGAGATATCTCTTTCGGGATATTTATTTATAAAAATTTATTCCTGTCGCATTTTTATTTAGAATAAGCCTATATAAGGCATACATCTATATATAGAATCTTTAGAAGTAATCTGTTCATTTGTCTATTTAAAAAATCCTGACACGATAAAATTTATTTATAAGACACCATTCAGAATCAATTATCGTCAAAGATATACAGAAAAATAATTTATTCTTTAACATTACTTTAACCTTCATAACAATTTACATGAAAAGAATTTAAAAAATTTTATCTTAATGAACTTATTTATATCATTTAATTGCAAATTTTAAATAATATAAATTATCTTTTTGCTTTATCCTTGTAAATAAATTTAGAATTAAAAAAAAATTAATTAGAATTACAAATTATATTCGAAAAATTATTTAAAAATAAACGAAAGTTCTGTAACAAATAGCAATACATAAAGATTTTAAGTAGTGTATTAATAATGTTCCTATTACAGGAACGGTAAGATTTTAAAAATTATGAATGTTGAACTATCAAGAGTTTTTAGTGGTCGAGTTGTCTACTAGAATGGCAAGGTTATTAATACTTTCGTGATACATAAACGTAAAAAGTAACAGCTTATTTTTTTAAATTCTATTCATGAAAGCACAAGTTTTATGAGTACTATTCTACATGAATCAAAATTTTAAATTTATGAATTTTATATTTAACATTCCTTAAAATTTTCTTTGCTAGTTGTTTGATTATAGATTAACTTTTTATATTAAATAATTCGCTTTAAAATTCGCCATGATATACACGGAATATATAATATATATAAAGTATAATCAACAACGCAAAGCCCGATAAGTATATAGAAATATTCAGGCGATCGTTGGATGTTTCTACATATAATATATGCAAATTAAGAATTAAAAATAAACATAAAATATACGGAATATTCTGATTAATAAGTTTACAAGAATATGGTTTACGGATCACGCGGTAATTCGTACACGTTACTTTAAAATGTTTTATAAGTTTTTATACTTTTAAAGATTTTTGTATTATTCTGTTTATATTTTAAATAATTCACATTAAATTAACAATTAGAAAAGTTTCTGGTTTCTAATAAAATTTATTTTAAGGATATTTTGGTCGGTTTATAGTTATAAAAATAATAATAAAATTAATTAATTAATAGCTATCTATTTGGATTTAATTATTAAATTAAAATTTTTTCGAAATAAATAGCACATTTCTATCTTAAAATAATAATATTTTAAAACTATTTATATGCAAAATATGAATTTTTTTCCTGTTTTGAAACTTTTTATAAGCCATAATTTATGAGTAATTTATGTAACGGCAAAAGTTATTTTAAAATTTTATTAATGATCAAAATTCGTAAATACGCATATAAATTATAAATATATACAAGTTAATTTCAACATCTGAACTTAATTAATCATTTTGTAAACTTATATAAAGTTAATTAATTTAATAATGTTCTTGATACGATGTCTTGAACGATAGCTTAGCGAAAGAACGTAAAGTGGATGTAACATTCCTAAAAGGAAAAGAAAGAAAAATTATTATTATTTTTTAATTTATAAATTTATGACATTTAAGTATTACTTGACAATTCAATAATATTATTCAGAAATTCATAATCATTTAGTAATCGTATAACTGAATACTAAAACGATGAATTGCGACAAAGTCAATTCAAAATACTATAATATCTTATAAATATATTATGAAATTGTGCATTAAACAATGATTAAAAATACTTTTCAAGTCGTTTCAGTAAATTTAATAAATGCATTCTTAAAGACCTCGTAAACATTTTACTTTCAAAATAATTTAAAATAACCGGTTATATACGATTATTTGTTTTTTTTTATTTAAAGGTTATAGTTTCACCTTGTATATATTTTTAACCAGAAATTTGAATATTTATCATCTACAACTTTTTAAAAAATATTTAAATTCAATATTTTAAATATATTTTAAATTTTTAATAAAATCTGTAAANGGTAATATTTTTCGAAACACCTATAATTAACATCGTTTCCTGTTTGGGGTTAACGTAGACAGGAAGACAAATTAGCATTAAAAAAAAGTGAAAGTGAAATTGAAAATTAAGATTCTGTAATATAACTCTTCGGTGTGTGATATAATAATTTTTTATAATTAATACCTAAATCGACATGATTTAGGTATTAATTTTAAAACAGATTTTAAAAAATGTGATCGGTATCAGAATCAAATGGTAGTTTGAAAAGCTTGATTTTCTAAATATTATTAATTTTCTTCTTATTGTCTGTAACAAAAATGGGACATTTATTTTTCTTTATTTTTTACGAATAAATAAACAGCTACGTTGAAAGTTTTTGCTTAAATTTAACCACTTTAATAAGCTATTAACATTAGTTTTCCATAGCCAAAACTGTATATAATGATATCTTCCCAATAATTATACACATAAACAGTAAAAACAGCTACTATTTATTATTAATATATATTAAATTTTATTCGCTTTTGAGAAAAATTATATAGAGTACGTTAATTTAATTCAAAAATTTTATTCTAGTTATTATTAACCGCGGGAAATGGGATGAAATCTTAAATTTAATATCAATAAAAATTTTAAACGAGATAAAATAAATTAAGCGTAAAAAGCTGTCTCCATTCATTCTTGTTTAATAGCATTTAAAAATGTACATCCTGTTAATCCAGTAAATAAAATATCACTTTATCTTATAATCAAGATCGTTTGTAAAAGAAAAATCGAGAATTATTCTTGAATTTGATAAAATAAAATTAAAAAAACAATGATAAAAAGTCGATAGTTATCTAATCGAGATATCTCTTTCGGGATATTTATTTATAAAAATTTATTCCTGTCGCATTTTTATTTAGAATAAGCCTATATAAGGCATACATCTATATATAGAATCTTTAGAAGTAATCTGTTCATTTGTCTATTTAAAAAATCCTGACACGATAAAATTTATTTATAAGACACCATTCAGAATCAATTATCGTCAAAGATATACAGAAAAATAATTTATTCTTTAACATTACTTTAACCTTCATAACAATTTACATGAAAAGAATTTAAAAAATTTTATCTTAATGAACTTATTTATATCATTTAATTGCAAATTTTAAATAATATAAATTATCTTTTTGCTTTATCCTTGTAAATAAATTTAGAATTAAAAAAAAATTAATTAGAATTACAAATTATATTCGAAAAATTATTTAAAAATAAACGAAAGTTCTGTAACAAATAGCAATACATAAAGATTTTAAGTAGTGTATTAATAATGTTCCTATTACAGGAACGGTAAGATTTTAAAAATTATGAATGTTGAACTATCAAGAGTTTTTAGTGGTCGAGTTGTCTACTAGAATGGCAAGGTTATTAATACTTTCGTGATACATAAACGTAAAAAGTAACAGCTTATTTTTTTAAATTCTATTCATGAAAGCACAAGTTTTATGAGTACTATTCTACATGAATCAAAATTTTAAATTTATGAATTTTATATTTAACATTCCTTAAAATTTTCTTTGCTAGTTGTTTGATTATAGATTAACTTTTTATATTAAATAATTCGCTTTAAAATTCGCCATGATATACACGGAATATATAATATATATAAAGTATAATCAACAACGCAAAGCCCGATAAGTATATAGAAATATTCAGGCGATCGTTGGATGTTTCTACATATAATATATGCAAATTAAGAATTAAAAATAAACATAAAATATACGGAATATTCTGATTAATAAGTTTACAAGAATATGGTTTACGGATCACGCGGTAATTCGTACACGTTACTTTAAAATGTTTTATAAGTTTTTATACTTTTAAAGATTTTTGTATTATTCTGTTTATATTTTAAATAATTCACATTAAATTAACAATTAGAAAAGTTTCTGGTTTCTAATAAAATTTATTTTAAGGATATTTTGGTCGGTTTATAGTTATAAAAATAATAATAAAATTAATTAATTAATAGCTATCTATTTGGATTTAATTATTAAATTAAAAATTTTTCGAAATAAATAGCACATTTCTATCTTAAAATAATAATATTTTAAAACTATTTATATGCAAAATATGAATTTTTTTCCTGTTTTGAAACTTTTTATAAGCCATAATTTATGAGTAATTTATGTAACGGCAAAAGTTATTTTAAAATTTTATTAATGATCAAAATTCGTAAATACGCATATAAATTATAAATATATACAAGTTAATTTCAACATCTGAACTTAATTAATCATTTTGTAAACTTATATAAAGTTAATTAATTTAATAATGTTCTTGATACGATGTCTTGAACGATAGCTTAGCGAAAGAACGTAAAGTGGATGTAACATTCCTAAAAGGAAAAGAAAGAAAAATTATTATTATTTTTTATTTTATAAATTTATGACATTTAAGTATTACTTGACAATTCAATAATATTATTCAGAAATTCATAATCATTTAGTAATCGTATAACTGAATACTAAAACGATGAATTGCGACAAAGTCAATTCAAAATACTATAATATCTTATAAATATATTATGAAATTGTGCATTAAACAATGATTAAAAATACTTTTCAAGTCGTTTCAGTAAATTTAATAAATGCATTCTTAAAGACCTCGTAAACATTTTACTTTCAAAATAATTTAAAATAACCGGTTATATACGATTATTTGTTTTAATGTAGATTAAATTTTCTCGAGACGTTTTTCACTAATTTCTTGCTGTTTATACGTCACGTAAGTTTTCTGCGTTACATATTACTTTTACTTTTCTTGATTTGACCCGAAAAACCTATCTTTTCGTATACGGAAGTAAATATTTTATACCAGGAAGTGACGTTGTACTTCTGTTTTTTCCATTGACCTACTACTATCTGTGTCAACTTCCTGATCAATATTTTCTTTTGTTTTCGTTTTATTTTGTACTTATTATTACTAGTTTGAAACTTTTGTTCGACTCTATAACATTGAATTTCCAGTTTTATAACGCTCGAGAGGTCAAAAGTATAAAGATAAAGTGTTACTTTGTGTAAGCAGTAGTAAAGATAAACCTATTATAACTTGTTAGAAATTTTCTATTTGGAAGCTATAAAAATATAACTAGAACATTAAATAGTTTAAATTTAAGAATCTAAACTTAGATCCCATAATAAAATCAATGGTTAAACTTAGAAAGAAAATAGAACCAGTTTTAATTAGATAATTTTTCAAATAACTAAAAAATATAGAGTTAAATATAATGAAAAGACTAAGAAATCTTTAACAAAACTAGATTCCTTTTTAAAATACAGTATTTTAGAAAAGTTATTATATTTTCCTCTAAATCTTGACAATAATTATAAATAAAATAAGCCAGTAAAATGAAATTTATCATTAATTAAAGAAGATAAAATAAGATTTATCTAGTTAAAAAGTGCAAAAGTCCGTAAAAGAAAGTGTAAGCTACTTACTTCACCAGTACAATCACTTTAACAGGCTATATACATCACTACACTGTTTCCTTTTCAAATAAAGATCGCTGAGCTCGGTGTCGTTTTTAAACTATAGGCAAGTTCCCACGAATTATATTTTTCCTCCTTACTCCTTAATATAACATCGAGATAGGTCACTATTGTTTCATTAAAATGTAACACTCTACACAATACTCTATTAATATAATCAGTAATTATCCGATGGTAGAATATTCTCAACCGTGTAAATAAGGTTATATAAGTAGAAAATGTATATAAATGGGTTTATATACTTTGAAATTAGACCTAAATTCACTTGTAAAAACGCTAAGATATTACGCACGATAGATTAATAAATAGGAAGTAATTATATCAATCAAAGTCACTTCTAGATAAAAATGATTTAATTAGAATTAGGTAAACGTTATAAAAGTTTTATTTTTGCATAGAATAATTGAGTTTTTGTCATTAAAGTATATAGAAAATTATTTAATTTCATTTTTAAATATTTGAATTTTTCATTTTATTTCCCAAAATTTTATATGAGAATCTTGGACTTTTTGGTCTCTTAATGAAATTTAATTTGAGAGTATTACTGAATTAAAAAAATATATCCAAGAAATTTTAAGTCTTTCTCACGAGATTTTCGAAATATTCATCCAACGTATATAATCACTATACGAATATACAATATTAAAATAAATATTAAATTTTATGATAAAAAAGAAAATTCTAAAGCCATAAACAGCAACTTCCAGCGTTTCTCCCCATATTCTTTAAATAAATTTTGAAATTTAATTATGATAAACTAAGAAATTAATTAAAGTTTAAGTTAAACCCGTTAAATCAGTTTAATATTAAATCTCGTTAAAGTAATTTTAGTAAAATGCAAGTAAAACAAGATCCGACTCAAGTCTTGTTTTTTTTTTTCTTTTTTAAAGTAATTTACCGATTTTAAAATAACGTTAATTTTCGTGAAATCTGATTGATCAATTCCCGAAATACTTCAAAAAATAGATTAACAGGAACAAGGAAAACTTTTTATAATTTTAAATGTAAAATAGTGAAATATTTTTCATTATTTTGACGAGAAATTTGAGGAAATATTATTTATTTATTTACGAAAAACTCAACTAATAACTAATATTTATTTATTTTTTTCTTGAATTATATTTTTATAGCCTACTTGATAAATTATTTTCTTATTACTCTATTTATTATTTTATTATTAATAGTTTTATTGAATAAAAATTAAACGAGAGTAAGTTAACTTATTTCTATTTTATTTAAAGAACTATATTAAATTTATGATCTCTTATTACTGTTAAAAAGTATTGATGATCTGTAATTTTAATATTTTTATTATAAAATATATAAACTTTTTATGTATTTTATTTTATTTCAATTTTATACATGACTTATTTTCAAATACATTTTTTAAAAGTATTTAAAATAAATGTTGAAATATAGGTGTAAAAGTATATGCAGTAAAACCTCTGAACAACGGCCACGAACGGAAACATTTAAAAATGGCCGTTGTTTGAAGGTTATTTTGTATGTAGTTTTGTTCTAAAAAAGTTCTTGAACAAATTTTTGCTGTTTACAGGTGGTCGTGGATGTTCGATTTCGAAAGTTTGACTTAAAATTAATTATCATTTAATTTTATAAAGAAATTTAAATCATTATCCAATTAAAAATCTTATATTTATTTAATATTAGCATTATTCATATTGAATAATGTAACTACGGTAATTTAAAAATCAAAGGAAGGTTAGTCAAACACTGCCATCTGTTATGGAAATCCAACACTAAAATTAATTGTAAAGAATTAAAATTAATTGTAAAGAATTAAATAAAATTAAATATTTACTATTAATTCTATAATTCAGTTCGTTAATTAAAATATAAATAATTTAATATTCGATGCAAATCCATAATTTTGGTATTCATTTTTAATAAATTTTTTATACCAAATTGCTCATTTATTGATTAATTGTCGAAATTAATTTTTTTACAAAGTTATTTCTTTAAATTTTATTGATATTTTTTATATTAGGTTACTCACGAACGGAAATAATTCCTTGGACAGTATAATTAAATAAGACTCTATCTGGTATAATTAATATGCCATTAAGTTACTGTTAGAATTATTAAATTTTATATAATTACTTTCTCATTTATTTAAATTTGATAAAAATAGCATTGGACATGTTACTGAATTTTTGATAAGTTTAACAAAATTTTAGCATTTTAAACGCCATTAAAAATTTTCTGAAAATTACTATTTCGATACAATTGTCAACACGACATTTGTAATTACAGTAATACAATAATTACGAAATTCATTGTGTTTGTTTGTATTATAGCACCATCTATGGGTAAATATTGTAAACTACTTTATCTTACTTTTAATAAATTTACTTATTTCATTTATTTTAATAATTAACTTCCATTATAAATTTATAAAATGTTAATATTAGAACAGTCCTTTTAAAAGAAATTAGTTAACTCTTCTATAGAATAGATTAAATTACTTTTTTCTCCTATATACTTATTTAAAATCTAAATTCTTAAAATTTTAATAAAAACCTTTAATTACTTTTTTGCTTTAGCTGCCTTTAAATAATTTTTTTAGTAATTTAATTAACAATTCTTAAAACAGGCAATTTTATATAGTCAGCTGTATGTTAACCCATAAAACTTTATTACTCCTTTATATAAAGCAGGGCTTCTTAAACTATGGGTCGCGACCCCATTTGGGGTCGCTTAGCAAAATCTTGGGGTTGCGAGATTTTGATGAGAGTTTGAAAATGGCATGCTTTGTGTCATAGGTTTTGTGAGTTGCGCTTTGTGTCATTTCTGGTGCAGCGAGACAACGATCCAGCAACACTGATTGCAGTGTGAACTAGTGTAGTGTTGTCGCTTTTCAGTGTATTCAGTTGTCTCTGTTCCATTGTAACACAAGAATGAACTGTGGTAGTACACCATTATTGTTTTTGCAAATTTGTATATATCTTTATTTTATANTTCTGTAAGATTTTCTTATTTTTTATTAACCCTCAATACCGAAATAATCCCGGGATCCCGGGATTGACTAAGTATAATCCCGAAATCCCGGGATTAGAAATAAGGACCGGGATCGAATTCCCTAGATAGGACTGATAATTACACATATATTGAAATATAAAGAAGTTCGTTGATGGTTTGGAAATGCATTATATCAAAAGTTTAGTCGAATCAATGCAAATCTTGCTACCACTCATTATCTTCGTTACCTTTCTTGCCCTTGAAAAACAAGTAAACATCTTATAAGATGACAATGACCCTAAGCACTACCTTGCGAGTCAAAACATTGCTAAATCAAAAAAATCGAATGTTAAATGACCCCAGATTACCCAATCACCGGATCTAAACATCATGAAACACGTCTCGTTTGAATTAAAAAGATAAAAAATTTCAAATATAGAATAAGTATTATATAATCAAACATAGAAAAACTTTGGACAAGAATAGAAGCCATTTTAAATAATATTAAACTTAGAAACTTTGCAGAAAGTTAATCCACATAATATCTAATAGAACTTAGGCAAAAGATCTATTAATCATTAGAAAATATTAATCACTATGTTACATTCTGTTGAATTCAAGTTTGTATTTAATTAATAATTTATCAAGTTTTTAATGTTTAAATTTGATAAAATGTACCAAAGATTAATGTAATATACTAAAAATGTAGAATAACGAAACTTATTAAAATAATCGAGTTTTTTTTAATTTCTTAATTTTTATATTTTATTTACATAATTAGTTTAATGCTTAATAAAATTTAATCGCTATATATGTATACGATTATACGTTCGTTCTATTATACACCTATTTCTATTTTTCATATCTTTATTATAATTGATACTAAAAATATTACATCGATTATCCAGTAACTGGTGGGCCTGCACCTTCTTTAATTGAATGAAATTATGAGATCGCAATTGAAATTCCCACGACTGCAAGACTAGATTATTGGGCATCATGAATGGCATTATGTGTAGCGAACGATATTTATTAAAAGGATATGCTCAAACAATTATAAAACGTAATTTGAAGATTTATTAATTATAAAAATTATTTTTAGTTAATAGTAATTCATCTAACATTTTATACTACCATTTTTAACAACAGCATCTAATTGAAGGAATGTTTAAAATTTAACCTATTTTACTGCGAGAAAATAACGAGTAAAATAATTACGGTAACATTTAAAATATTAAAACAGTAGTTCAAACTACATGGTTTTCTCAGGAATGTTATGAAGAGTATGTCTAGTTAGCTCGACAAGATACAAGTATATGGTTTCGATTTATTTCTTCCATTTTTTACAACGCAAAATGTTTCTTGTGTTTTATTGAGGAAAGGAATGAGAATAATAAATAGATTAGAGGTGCATTTTTAAGTTATAATTATGTGACTTCTGTTGATCAGACAAAAGGATAATTCCGCAAGGCTCTGGATGCCAATCAACAATGCCGGAAAATTGATGATCTACCTATAATTTTAATTTTGTTGAATATCAGTTTGAAATCTCCAAATTTCTGAAAAATATTCTTTCAATAAACTTGAATAAGACATAAATTATAGATCACTTATAATTTTAGTATCCAGTGTTACCATCTCCAACTCCTCGATTACTACCATCACTATATTCTCTATGATAACTTCCTTCGTTTCGTTTGTTATTATTACTTCCATTTCCATTTTTATATTTACCATAATTGTCTCCACCTCCTCCATATCCTTCACTTTTGTGCTCTATTGTATTTCTATTATTATTATCACCTCCTCTGTAACTTCCATTTTTGCTTATGCCTCCTCCATATCTCTCGCTTTTACCGTTACCTCCGTATCCTCCGTTATTACCACCTCCATCGTATCCTCCGTTGTTACCACCTGCACCGTATCCTCCGTTGTTACTACCTCCCCTGTATCCTCCGTTGTTACCACCTCCGCCGTATCCTCCGCTGTTACCACCTCCCCTGTATCCTCCGCTGTTACCATCTCCCCTGTATCCTCCATTGTTACCANTAGGTTTTAATTGTATTGTTTGGATTTGTTAAGTAGTTTAAAAAGAACATTTATTTATGATGAGAAAAATTCTTAACGAGAAATTAATGTATTTTATAAAAGCTATGAAAGTTGCTACGTTATGAGACTGGACGAACGAGTGTAATAGCCTTTTTTAAACGAGCTATAAAGTTCATTGAGTATGCCCTTGACCCGAATAAAAAATGTTTGCTCGATCGGGCATTGCTTGCGATGACAATGAAAGATAAACTTACCTTTTATGTATTTAAAAGATAGTGGTTAGCTGACTTAACTATTAATAATAAGTTATTTCAAATAATTATTATTGATCAAAATTCCATATTAAAATAGTGAAATTTGAGAAAACTCGTTTCTATTTCATCAAAACAATCTAATTTTAAAAAGTAGATAATAAAAAGTTTTGATCAAATTGAAATATAAGCTATCCCTTATCGCATAAAATTAGTTAAGCTCGAGTTTGTAAATCAGCTATCAAAACTCACCACATGGCTTCCTTATCAATAGTGGTGACCGTGTACTCTTCTGTAGTGTCCACGGCTTCTATAATAGCTGCCATGAGGCCTATTACCAAAAGCATGGCTCCGAGTGATAGAACCTCCGTAAAATCCTCTAGATCTATGTCCTCCTCCTCTAGATCCATGATAGGTATCATAGGCAGGGTGTCCAGCGAATACTTCCAACGCTAGGAAGCAAAAGACTAAGAAAATAACTGCAACCTGTAGAATGAAACTACATATATTATTATCAGATGCACTCATTCGTAAATTTAACGTAATTTAAACTCGTAATTGAACATACCTTAAATTTCGACATTTTTCGATACCCATGTTGAAGTCTTGATTTCTTTTATACCGTTTGAATGTTATGAAGTTGTTCTCCTCCGCGATTATGAGATAGGATGCTACAAGGTCGTAGAATAAACAAATCAGATTCTTGGGAATTCAGAACGAGGACGTCTAGAATACAGTAAATGATTTTGCGTATATACCTTGAACAAAAATAATTTTTAAGTTAATTCTATTATGTGAATTATATTATTTGGTTACATTGATTAAATTAATTTTCTAACCATCATCTTTTCAGCAAAATTGTTTGAAATTGCACATAATATCTTTAAATTTTAAAATATGTCTATCTAACAATCATTGGCTAGATACACTATCAGCATACATTCAGTGTAATGCCTGATAATAATTAATTAGTATCGATTTCTCGATAATGATTATTTAAAAATTTAATTTAATTTGTAAATTTTCTTTTAACGTTAATTATAAATACAGTTTTTAATCCTTCAAGATTGTTTGAACATCTACGTTGACGGGTGAACTTTTTGATTGTCTTCTCTACGCTTCAAATTCTTTTCTTTTCAATATAACAAATTCCAAAAGCTGAAACAATTAAAATTTTGAATGTTGGAAATTTTCCAAATATTCACATAATTTAGAATTAATGACAGTTTAAGACAAAAGAATTTTTTTTATAATTATTATATTGGGATTCGGATTGTGAACGAAAAAAGCGAGAGAATAAACTTTTTTAAAGATCATTTCTATAAATATCTCATTGATAACAGCATATAATAAAAAATATAGTTTTGTGCTATACTCCTATATCAATGGATCTACGACTATCCTCTCACTTTTATATCACGGTAATACGGTTCTACTCTTATGACAGGAAGTGTAGAGTATGTCGGTCAAGGAAGGAGCTTGTTCTCACATTATCTTTAGAAAGAATTTTTTCTGATAATTCTATCACATTTTTTTCTGATGTACTTAATCGAATTGTAGAAGCTGATGAATTATGGTTTGTGTAATTGGATTTCTGTAAAGTTCCTTCTTAGAACACAAAATTTTATTTTTTTCACTTTTCGTTAATTGATAATGATCTTTTTCAGATACACAACGTTATTTTCTTAAAAGATTTTATCAAAAGATTGTATCAAAAGAGTTTGCAGGATTTCTGCTTACAATTTATTCACCTTCGTAAACAGAGGCGGAACAACTTCACTGCGGCCATGGTTCGAAATTTTAATGCGTCTCTTATCCCTCCCAACCTCACTCCACCTCAAAGGACGGGACTTGTATTCCCCCTAAAAAACCTTTAACCCTTGACTGAAATAAAAAGGATCATGGGCCCCGTTGGCTCCAGATCCTGATGCGGCCGAACCAATCTGCGCTATTAAGTTCCACTATTGTTTGTAATTCAATTTTTCACAAGGAATACGGCAAGATCATTATCAGAAGAAATCAAAGACTAATGTAAAATGGAATTATAAAATAACACAACTAACAAAAAATTATGACAGCACTAATAGAAGAAATGCTCTCAAAATAATACTGGAACAAACTGCCTCCTGTGACTAACACACACTTGGTCCGGTCAGAAGAGTAGAACGTGTTATCACGATAAAAACGGAAGAGGACAAACCTAAATCCATGGATATAGGCGCTAACACAAAACTATATATTTTATTATATGCTGTTATCAACAAGACCAGGCATGGCCAACATACGACTCGCGGGCCGGATCCGGCCCGTTTAATGAATTTATGCAGCCCGCGATTAATATTTCAATATTAGCTACTCAAGTCCGAATAGCTCGATGAAATATTCTGACGCCTAAAAAAAGGTCAATAACTCACTGTGCGTTTAGAGTTAACCCTCCATTACATAAGTACAGCGTAGAACGTTGATAAAGCATGATAATGTGAAAAATGTATCTGTAATCTCTATCTACAATTTAGTCTCTACTGCGTGACATCACAATGAGATCTCGCACCACCTCAAAATCTTCCTAGGGCAGCCTGTGGTTCGGCCCGTGAAAAAAGTTTTCTTTCCAATTCGGCCCGAGGGCAAAAAGTGTTGACCACCCCTGAACAAGAAATAATCTTAAAAAGAATCTGAACTGAGAGAAGACAGTCAAAAATGTTCATCTCTTATTAAATAAAGGTTCAAGATTCCTTTAATGTGGAAATTGATTTAAATTTCAAATCAATGGCATACTTGTGAAATTAACCATTGAAAAATTTTTAAATTCGATGAAAAATAACATTAATATTTCATGCACTTGAATGTTAACATATTGACTTTTTTTATTCGAATTATTTAAATAATGTTCCAATTTGAATATTTATTTGTTTGCATTTAATCTTTATTAAATGCAAACAAAAAAATTAAATAACAATTAAATTAAATATCAAACAATTAAATGCATCAAGATATTTAAATATCAAATCGAACAATAAGATGTTTGAAAGTAGTGGAATGAACGGAAAAATGAAAATAAAGTGATTATTTCTATTGAAAACAAACAAGAAAAAGATTGAAATTTATTATAAATTTTAGGAATGAAATAAGAAATAATTGTTGGAGAATTATACGCGTAACAGAAGTAGCCTAAATCTAGTGACTTTTAATCAGATTTACGCAAAAATTACTAGAAGAAAACGAATGAAACTTGCTGCCCACTAGTGACCGAGTGGATAAACCACTAGGCCACTGGTGGATATTGCTCAACAACACTAGTGACGGGTTTGCACATCGCTAACGGGCCAGCCGTTAGAGTTTCCCGGATTTTCTTTATATAAATAACACCTAAATTTGGGCCAGTTTTCCATAATAGTCCTCTCGAAAAGTATCTCTCGTTACCAGATCGCTCATATGCTACATTACTTTGTACTATCAATCCAGTCCAATCCATGAAGCATGATAGGACTAGAGGATTTGATCCCGGGATCTCGAAAATCGGGATCCCGGGATCCCGACCACTTTTCAGTCCCAAAATTTTCGGGATTAAGTTTTCCTAATCCCGAGATTTTCGGGATTGACGTCATTTAAAAAAAAGTTGCAAAATAGACTGCATGAAGCGAAACGTTCAGTGCCAGTGCTTTTAACAGAATTGCTTGCCTATCATTTTAATATAAAATACAAGAAATTTTATTCCAAGCAAGCAGCAGAAATTAACCTAGCGGGCTTGCGATGCTTGCTTGGAATAAAACTTCTTGTATTTTCAACTAAAATGATAGGCAAGCAGTTCTCACTGGGTTACTTGGTA